GTGCGGGACGCATGCGCATGTGAGCGCCGCCACTGGGGCCTTCGGTGGAGCTCCCTATGGGGCCACGAAACGTGTGAGGGGTGTGCCGAATTGGGTGTGCGGGACGCATGCGGGCGGCAGCACTGGGGCTTCGGCGGGGCTCCCTATGGGGCCACGAAGCGTGTGAGGGGTGTACCGAATTCGGTGTGCGGGACGCATGCGGGCGGCAGCACTGGGGCCTTCGGTGGGGCTCCCTATGGGGCCACGAAACGTGTGAGGGGTGTGCCGAATTGGGTGTGCGGGACGCATGCGGGCGGCAACACTGGGGCCTTCGGTGGGGTTCCCTATGGGGCCACGAAACGTGTGAGGGGTGTGCCGATTGGTCTGTGCGTGACGAAGCGGGCTGGCAGCACTGGGTCTCGGTGGGGCTCCATATGGGGCCACGAAAGCGTGTTGCGGGGTGTGGCGAATTGGGGGGTGTGCGTGACGCAGCGGGCGGCAGCACTGGGGGCCTTCGGGGGCGTCCATTATGGGGCCACGAAAACGTGTGGAGGGGTGTGCCGAATTGGGTGGGGTGATGCATGCGGGGCAGCACGGGGGCCTTCGGCGGACCTCCCGATGGGGCCACGAAACGTGTGAGGGGTGTGCCGACTTGGGTGTGGGTGACGCATGCGGGCGGCAGCACTGGGGCCTTCGGTGGGGCTCCCTATGGGGCCACGAAACGTGTGAGGGGTGTGCCGACTTGGGTGTGCGTGACGCATGCGGGCGGCAGCACTGGGGCCTTCGGCGGAGCTCCTATGGGGCTACGAAACGCTGTACTTGGTGGGTGAAACGCAGGGAAGAGGGGGGGGAGGGAGGAGGAGGGGGAGGAGGAGGAGAGGAGGAGAGGAGAGGAGGACGCGGGGACCGTCTCTTCAAAACGAGGACCCAACACCACAGGATGGTTGGGAAAAAAGGAAACAGTTAAACAATGCTCCCAAATAGTGGAATCGTAGCCGAAGAATCGTCAACTGCCAATTTTCGAGACACTGCTTTTGAATAGTCGTCATGTAGAGGGACGGACAGGCTCGACTTCAACCTAGACCTCAGGAGCGGCCCGAAAACCACCCCAGAGCCCCTCCTGGGCCCGAAGTGGTCCTTGCTCCGGCGTCTCGGCGGCCAGAGCAAACAACAACAACACCACCAACAACAACAACAACAACAACAACACCAACAACAACAACAACAACAACAACAAGTACTACTACTACTACTACTACTACTACTACTACTACTACTACTACTACGACTACGACTACGACTACGACTACGACTACGACTACGACTACGACTACGACTACGACGACTACGACGACTACTACTACTACTACTACTACTACACTACTTACTTACACTACGACTACTACGGACTACTTCCTACGACTACTACTTACACTTACTTACTTACTAATACTACTGACCTACTTACTACTACTACTTACTTACTACTATACTCCGACTACGACTACGTACTACGACTACGACTACGACTACGACTACGACTACGACTACTAGACTACAACTGAACGACTAACGACTTACTACGACTACTACGGACTACTACGACTACTACGCTATACGACTAATACGACTAACTACGTGACTACACCGACTTACTACGACTACTCCGAACTACTACGACAGGAAGAACAATCTGCACACGGTATCAAACTACGACTTACGCCTTACGACTACGATACTACTACTGACTATACTACTACTACATACGTACTACTACTCATATTTACTACTTACTACTACTACTACTACTATTACTTACTACTAATACTATACGACTACGACTAAGACCTACGACGACGACTAGATACGACTACGACTACGGACTACGGACTACGGACTACGATTACGACTAGACTACGACTACGACTACGACTACGACTAACGACTACGACTTACGACTACGACTACGACTACGACTACGACTACGAATACGACTACGAACTACGACTACGACTTCACTACTACTACTACTACTACTACTACTATACTACTACTCTACTACTACGACTACTATTTACTATAGGCGTGTGAGATAATTCCCCCCCCCTAACACCCCCCCCCCCCAGGGACCCCAAAACCGGAGATTGAACCACCCCCCCCCCCCCGGCCCGGCGCGAGCGCACCACGAGGCTTGTCCGGACCCAAGAGGGCGTCAAGGAGGGGCAAGAAGGCCCCAAGAGGCCTCCAAGACGACTCACGAGGGCCCCGAGACGCCACACATGTGCTCCAAGACGCCCAAGATGGCCCCGAGATTGGCCAAGAGGCCTCCAAGACGGCCCAGGAGGTCCCAAACAAGCCTTCCAAGAGGGCCTCAAGAGGCTAAAATTGTTGGTTATCCATTGTGTTTTTCAATGTTTGTTGCCTTTTTGTCTCTCCGGCTTCCCGACGCTCCAACACGGCCCCAGAGGCCCCGAAGACAGCCACAAGACGGCACAAGAGACCCCCAAGACGGCCCCAGATGGCCCCATGACGGCCCCACAGGCCCCCAAGACGGCCCAAGAGGGCTCCAAAACTGCACCCAGAGAAGCCCAAGAGGGCGACCAAACATTTAAAAAAAAACTAGCTTTCCGCCCCAAGGATCCCCAGGCGGCCCCAAATGTGCCCCCAGAGGCCACCAGAGGCCCCCAAGACTCCCCCCAGACGCCCCCCAAAACCCCCAAAAACCCCCCCAGAGGCTCCGAAACGGCCCCCAACTGGTTTCAAAACTACATTCCAGAGGCCCCCGAGAGCCGTGCCGCGAGATCCCGATACACCTACAAGATGCCTCTAACCCATAACCCAGGACTCTGAGCCTTCTTTGTGTGTCCCCTCGCCCCCCCCCCTCCATCTCGGCCCCCAGGTGGTTTCAACATTGCCTTCCAGAGGCCCCCGTGAGCCGTGCCGCGATACCCCGATACACAAACAAGAAGCCTCTAACATATAACCCAGAACCCGGAGCCTCATCTCAGTATCCCCCTCCTCCTCTTCTTCCTCCTCCTCCACCTCCTCCTCGTCCCCCTCTCCTCTCCCTTCGTTTCATTCCCCACCCTCCTCCTCTCCCGATCCTCTCCGATTCTTTTCCCCCCCATCCTCCGCCCCCCCTCCCCCTTCTCTCCCCGTCCTCTTTCTCCCCCCCAGCACGCGCGCCCGATTGGGCATCATTTGCATGTATTGCATTTCAGGGTGCTCTTCTTTTCGTCGCGCGCGACATGGGCAGCGTTCGTGGGAAACGCCGACTTCCGACTTCGTTAGTCTCCTCTCGCACGCGCCGCTGCACTGATACGCTCGGCAACTGCGCGCTGTGAACCCGAGTTTCTCACAGCCCCCGCACACCACTTTGAGTTGTTTCGTCTTTCGATGATGTTCCACTTGTGCTGGCCTCAAATGTTCCGTGTCCGAGAACGCTCCCGGACGTCCATTTTTCGCTCATGTTTCGGTCTCGCGCGTAGTATTTTTTGGGCCCGATGGCCCAGGATGGTCCTCGATGATTCTCGCCGAGAAAAAATGCACACGTCCTTATGTTGCATCCTCGGGCGACCTTGTCTGTCCCGTCGCGGCCCTCTCCGCGTCGAATCCGCGTCGAATCCATGTCGGACGCGTCGGAACCGTGTTGAATCCGTGTCGAACCCGGGTCGGATCCACGCCAGATCCGCGTCGAGTCCGCATCGAACCCGCGTCGGGCCCCCAAAGAGACACCAATTTTGGGGACAGGCGAGGCCCCCCGAAGGTGCGACAGAAACGCCCAAGCGACGCCAAGACGCGGAGGTCTGCTCTGGGCATGCCTTGCCATGCTCTGGCAGCGAAGGCGAGGGGTGGGGGGCGGAGCCACGGCAGGGAGGGGCGGCAGCGGGAGCAGCAGCAGCGGGAGCGGGGCCCCGAGGGCGGAGGGCCGACAGCAGGCAGAGCTCGCACCACTACTACTACTAGTACTACTAGTACTACTAGTACTACTAGTACTACTAGTACTACTACTACTACTACTACTACTACTACTACTACTACTACTACTACTACTACTACTACGAATACGACTACGACTACGAATACGACTACGAATACGACTACGACTACGACTACGACTGTGATTACGATTACAACAACAACTACTACTACTACTACGACTACTACTACTACTACTACTACTACTTCTACTACTACTACTGCTACTGTTACTGCGACTACTAGTACTTCTTCTACTACTACTACTACTACTACTACTACTACTACTACTACTACTACTACTACTACTACTACTACTACTACTACTACTACTACTACTACTACCACTACTACGACCTCGATACTGGTGTTGGAACCCGCCTCCCTGGAGCGCAGACGCTCGAAACAACATCTCGATCGCTCAGAACTCGAGGGACGCCTGCGGCCGACCAAGGGGTGGACGGCACCCCCGTCAGCAGAAAACCCGTTTCGTCCGCCGACCGGACTCGCAGGGGCAAGGGATTCGCGAGTGGCTGCAGGCCGAGAACCTTCGAGGGCCTCCAGTATCAGGAGCAAAGAAGATCGACATCACCACCACCGTCGGGAGGAGCCAGGGAGGGCCTTCCGGCTGGTATGGTCCCCGTACTGTGCGGTATCTTTCTTCGAGACATCTGAATTCTCCAGACCGGGGAGGCATTGTGGAATTTCTCGCTGGAGGCGACCCGCTGACAGGTCATTCAGCATCGAATCGCGGAATCGGATGGAAACGGCACGTGCATCGGATCGAGCCGCATCGGCTCATAAACGGAATCGAATCAGACCGGCTGCGCCACGATGCACAACAGCGCTACGAAAAATATCGGGCCGCACTGGATCGTCCGAATGTCGGAACCGAATCGGATCGGGCTGGCCGGAGTCGACATCGAATCTGATCGGTCAGATCGGAATGGGCCCTGCCTGGTGGCGGTGGTGTCGCTCCCCCGTCCCCCGAAGGTGCACGAAAGGTGCACCTTTCCTCCCCGCCTCCATGGATCGCCTTCCCATTACGCAACGCCCGAGTCTGGCGTGCACCCCGTCCAGGCGCCGTCCTGCTGCACCTTCCGCCTCTTGGCCGTGGGCTGCGCGGGCGCGGCGTCCAGGGCCCGGTCCTGGACAGTCCTGCGCGCGCCCGCCCACCAGGGCCCGGAGATCGGCGGCCAGCGGGCCCCCTGAAGGCATCCGGGAAACGAAGGAGGCACCTAAACACCATTGCCAGTGCCTGGGCGAGGCCACCCTGGGCCTTAGCATGGCAGATATGAGATGCATAGACACCTTCACACACACACACACACATTAATATTTATTATATTATATATATAGATATATATCGACAATATGTATCAGTATATACATACAGACATTACAGACGCTGCAGCATGCATGAATGCATGATGCATACATAATACATACACCATAAACATCACATTACATACATCACACAGCATACATGCATACATACATACATACTACCTACAATACATGCATGCAGCAGATGAATGCATGCATTGCATACAACCACATACACACGTGTTGTGTCTATGTATTAGCACCCGATGACAACATACACATCACGTGGCACACCCTCGCCACAACACACATCACCCACCCAGCGACAGATAGAATCTTACATATCGGCATTATGCATATTACCCAGAACACATTATATATATATATATAAACCTTATATACATAGATCTATACAACTACAGCTACACCTATGAATAAATATGTGTAAATAGATACGTCTACACAGATGCATAGGCATATGCATGAACATACACATACACATACACCTAGATACACACATATACATTACATAGAGATATGCAGATACCTAAACATGCACATTCACATGAACATTTACAAACATATATATATACACACACGCGTATACGTGTACATTATCCCAGTGCGACCCTACCTAGAAGTTGGAGCCCCTAGGAAAGCAGCATGAGTAGCAACAGTAAAGCTAAGCTAAAGCTAAAGCTAAGCTAAAGCTAAGCTGAAGCTAAGCTGAAGCTAAGTTAAAGCTAAAGCTAAGCTAAAGCTCAGCTAAAGCTAAGCTAAAGCTAAGCTAAAGCTAAGATGAAGCTAAACTGAAGCTAAGTTAAAGCTCAGCTAAAGCTAAGCTAAAGCTGAGCTAATGTTAAAGCTAAAGCTCAGCTAAAGCTCAGCTAAAGCTAAGCTCTAAAGCGAAAGCTAAAGCTAAGCTCAAGTTAAGCTAAAGCTAAGCTGAAGCTGAGCTGAAGCTAAGCTAAAGCTAAGTTAAAGCTAAGCTAAGGCGAAGCTAACGCTAAGCTAAAGTTAAAGCTAAAGCTAAGCTAAAGTTAAAGCTAAAGCTAAGCTAAAGCTAAGCTGAAGCTAAGCTAAAGCTAAAGCTAAAGCTACAGCTCCCAGGGGACTGGGGGAACCGCGGGGCGGGGACTGGGGGAACCGCCTGGGGCGCTTTCCACTGCCCGGCCCCTTTAAGCTAGAGGGTAAGAACCCTTCTGGGCAGAGCCTAGGTAGGGAATATACATATACAAATATAAAAAAAAAAAAAACGTACACACATACGTGTGCATATACATATACATATACCTATACGTATAGAACTACGCATGCACATATACATATACATATGCATGTGCGTGCAGAAGTGTGCATATATATATATGGATGTGCATATATATATGTATGTATGCATCAACAATGTGATGCATCAACAATGCCATGCACAACTATATATAGTCATGTATATACACATATACATACACATACTCATATACATATACATGCACATGTAGACAGACATATACGTATACATCTGCGTGCACACGTGCATATCCATAAACATAAGAGGGTAACGATTCATACACACATATATACATACGCACCCGCGCTTCAAAAGCAGCCTGGATCGTCTACGAGCCACCACACCATATAATTGCGTAGGGCAAGCAGTGCCTTTGAACAACCGAAAACGCTCGTTCAAAGAAAATTAGCCTGGCGAAGGACCCAACCATATGCAGTTGTGAATACCGCAACTATGAATATCGTTTTCGGCGGCGCTACCTCTGGGCAGGGGAGACGCATGCGAACACCCCCACTGGGGCCTTCGGTGGAGCTCCCTATGGGGCTACGAATCGCTGCCCTGGGTGGGGGAACCGCATGCGGGCACCCCTCTGGGGCCTTCGGTGGAGCTCCCGATGGGGCTACGAAACGCTGCCCTGGGTGGGGGAACCGCATGTGGACACCCCCACTGGGGCCTTCGGTGGAGCCCCCTATGGGGCTACGAAACGCTGCCCTGTGTGGGGCAACCGCATGCGGGCAGCCGCACTGGGGCCTACGGTGGAGCTCCCTATGGGGCCACGAAACGCTGCCCCGGGTGGGGGAACCGCATGTGGACACCCCCACTGGGGCCTTCGGTGGAGCTTCCTATGGGGCTGCGAAACGCTGCCCTGGGTGGGGGAACCGCATTTGGACAACACCCCCACTGGGGCCTTCGGTGGAGCTCCCGATAGGGCTGCGAAACGCTGCCCTGGGTGGAGGAACCGCATGTGGACACCCCCACTGGGGCCTTCGGTGGAGCTCCCTATGGGGCCACGAAACGCTGCCCCGGGTGAGGGAACCGCATGTGGACGCCCCCACTGGGGCCTTCGGTGGAGCTTCCTATGGGGCTGCGAAACGCTGCCCTGGGTGGGGGAACCGCATGTGGACAACACCCCCACTGGGACCTTCGGTGGAGCTCCCGATAGGGCTGCGAAACGCTGCCCTGGGTGGAGGAATCGCATGTGGACACCCCCACGGGGGCCTTTGGTGGAGCTCCCTATGGGGCTACGAAACGCTGCCCTGGGTGGGGGAACCGCATGTGGGTCACCCCCACTGGGGCCACTGTCGGGGAGCTCCATATGGGGCTACGAAAAACGCCGCCCTGGGTGGGGGGACGCATGGGGAACCCCCACTGGGTGGGGGAACCGCATGTGGACACCCCCACTGGGGCCTTCGGTGGAGTTCCCTATGGGGCTACGAAACGCTTCCCTGGGTGGGGGAACCGCATGTGGACACCCCCACTGGGGCCTTCGGTGGAGCTCCCGATGGGGCTACGAAACGCTGCCCTGGGTGGGGGAACCGCATGTGGACACCCCCACTGGGGCCTTCGGTGGAGCTCCCTATGGGGCTACGAAACGTTTGAGAGGTGTGCCGATAGCAGAGGCAAGGAGGGGGAGGAGGGAGGAGGGGGAGGAGGGCGGGAAGGAACGCGGGGCGCCGTCTCTTCAAAACGAGGACCCGACACCACAGGATGGTTGGGAACAGACGTGGTGCAAGCTCTTCCGTAACGAGGCCAAACTTTTTCAAGGCCGCGTTGATTCTGGATTCAACCTCCGTCGCATGCAGGCCACCTACAGTAACTGCACGTCCCAAAATAGTTATGTGATGTGGGGAAGGTGAACTCGATACCGTTTCTGTTCGCGACTGTCTGCTTCGGGGCCGCATCGCGGCCTTCCCGCTCGCAAACTGTGGCAAGATCTTCGCTCTCACCAGATGTCCCTCCAGACCAGGAGGTTGCGTAGCACACATCACATCCGAAGTCCTTCATGTCAGCTGTCTTTGCGATGTAGCTGTCAGTAACACGTCATCTGCGAAACGACGGTTTGTGACACCTTCGTATTCGTGCCTTGCCGACTGTATGCCGCTCATCCTGTCCGCCCACTTCTCTCGCAGCTGGCTGCAGATAGCTTCCGACAAGCAATTGAAGAAAAGGAAGCTGAATGGATATCCGTGTTTGGTTCCTCAGCTGATGGTGAGTGCCTTGCTGTGCCCATCTGTCTTGATACAGGCAGCCTGGTCAGCATACATGTTCGAGCCAATATCGATATACGCCACTGGCACCCCGTGAGTTTGCACTGCCTGCCATAGCGACTCATGGATGGGAGGGAGGAGGGTTCAGTTTTGCACAGGAGGGAGGAGAGAGGCGGGAGGGCTGAGAGAGAACGGAGGAGGGAAGCACAATGGAGAGAGGGGGAAGGAGACGCGCGCCGCGCAGCTGTTTCGCATCCCCGACGCCGACCTGGGGAAGGGAGGTAGACAATACCACGCAACTGGGAATGCAAGACGCAACCAGTTTAACTCGATCCAGCTGCGACGTCCAGGCACGGGCGTGCATCCAGACCCGCCCGACTCACGCCGCTCGAGAACCTCCGACTCGAGGATTGAGAGCGCGCCGCCAGCACTGCCCTGTAATATCATCAATGCCACCTTCATCCACGTTGCAAACTAACTCCTGCAAGGTCATGGCCAAACAGAAGGAGCGCTGCACCCGCCCGCGTCCTTTTTCGAGATGTGCTCTGCTGCGTGGATGGTTCCTGAAACTCCCCACTTGATGAGGAGTGGGAGGGGGAGCAGGAGATGAGGCAGAAGGCAGGAGGGATGACAGAGAAGGGCAGCAGGGGAGAGAGGAGGAAGGGGCGGGAGGAGAAGGAGGGAGGGAAGTAGGGACGTGGAACCAGGGATGAGCTCCGAGGAATGCACAGCGATGCAAAGCACGGGTATGCTCAGCAAGGCATGATCGCAATTGGTGCACAGTCAACGAGACCATGAGCACGTTGGAAAGAATCCGAACCCGCTCTAGAATGCACAGTGTACCCTCACTGGTGGCCTTCTCCAACGCTTGAGCACGTAAGTGTTCCAGGGCACGCACCTTCGGGTGGGCAGCGCGTGACGCTGGTAACCGACAAACAACCGACAGCAAGCGCCCAACAATCCGAATAATACGAAGAGTTTGGCTGCATCGATGGGACACATGCGTGGGCCTAAATTTCGCAAGCGCAAGCTGTCTGTCAGTTTGCATTGCCTCGGCTGGCCAAGCAAAGCAATTTCCATGCGCCAGAAGAACTGGGTTCTTCCAAAAATGCAAACAAAACCATCTGCATACGCATCGCAGTAGCACGCTTCCCCAACAACGGGTATAAACAACACCACCTGACGACAATCACTGGGTGCGGTGATTATCTAAGGGCACGGGAGCCGTGAATAGGCCAATCGAACAGGTGCAGGGAAGATCCAAAGTCGATGTGGTTCTGCCTCCCTCAACCATCTACCAACGGCACCTCGTCCAACAAATCCACAGATGCCCGAACACGCCCCTGCTTCAGTCTGAAAGAAATATTCGCGACGGGCTCGCGGGGCGGCGGGGCACCGCCAGCTCGTCCTGGCCGTCGTCCTCCTGCTTGGGGACATCCTCCGCGCGCCAGCATCTCTCGCGCCAGCACCCAGGGGATGGCCTCCCCCTCCTGGCCCCTCAATATCTTGCATCCACCTGCCGCCTTCTGCTCCCCCCTCCCTTCTTGTTGTTACTTCCTCCTCGTCCTCCTACTCCTCCTCCTCCTCCTCCTCCTCCTCCTCCTCCCCCTCCTCCTCCTGCTCCTCCTCCTCCTCCGCCTCCTCCTGATCCTCGAGGGTCGAAGAGGACAAGGGGTGAGAGGAGAACAGGGAAGAGGAGGAGGAAGGAGGAAGAAATGGGAGGAGTAGGAGGAGGAGGAGGAAGAAGAGCGAGGACGAAGAGGGAGGAGCAGGAGGAATGAGGAGGAAGAGGATTTGGAGGGAGGAGGAGGAGGCAGAGGAGGGAGGACAGAGGATCGAGGACTTCGGACGTGCTTCAGTCTTCCCTGGGACCTCCAGGGGCGCCCACTTCACCAAAGCTGGGCTTCCCTTCGAAACTGCTGGCAAGAGCACATCCCGGAGTAGTTCCAGGGGCCGACTTCGAGGGAAAAGGGCCCCGACCTCCAGGCGATCGTGAACAACATCGCGGGTTTGTCCACATCTTGTAACTTGTGGGTGTCTGATCGCCCGCTTCGAGCCTCAAGACTGCTGGAGGAAACAGCCCGGGATGAATATACCGGGACGTCGGAGCTGCAGGACCACCATCGCCTCCTCATCCTCCTCCCAGGTCCTCGTCATCCGAGACCACCTCCGCCTCCATTGCCTCCATGGCTCGGCCAGGCGCGCGCGCAGCGCGCCCCCGTCGCCGGCGAGTCGGAGGGCGCGAGGGAGCAGGAGGAGGACCAGAGGAAACCCAGGATGCACAAGTGATGCTGCAAGACACCCTCCCATCCCAACTCTCACCCTCATGCGTCCATACAAGCTTCCATCCTCACTACAAGAAGCGCCCACACTTGAAAGACTGGCACAGATGGTCCTGCCAGTTTGCCGAGGGCCCCGCTTTGAACAGGAATTGTCTTGCATTCGTGGCGCGTGATCAGGGATTCGAGGAATATCATGCAGGTCAACGAAGTGTCCAGCGATATCCCCTTTTCGAAGAAGGACCGCCCCCCCACAAGTAGAGCTGCTGCACAACTGTACACCCGTGGTAATGAGCTTGAAGAAGTCCCAAGCGAAAGCTCCAAAGCCGCCCTGAATCCGTCCAGTGTTGCCTGTATTGAAGCTTCTGGTCTCGAACATGTAGGTGGCATCGGCCGCGAAACCCTCTTTGGAACTAATAGTCCTTCATACGCCTGAATGTCGCATTAAGAAAAACACGAGTGCGCGCGGCGTTGAGGCAAGCGTACGGCATGTGCTCAACCCATAAAATGTTGCAAGAGAATGGACCGAATGTGCCCGGCGCCACGGCCAGAGCCCCACTTTGAAAAGAGACCACCCTACATCCTTGAAGCAACCGCGAGCTGTTAAAACAGATGCGTGCGGCGCTAAGGCGATCGCCACAGTTCGAATTAGCCTGACGAAGAACCCAACCATATGCAGGCGTGAGTACCGCAGTTGTGATTCACTTTTTCGGTGGTGATCCCTATGAGGCAACGAACCGTGCTAGGGTGTGCCGAAATGAATAACGTGGTACACAACGCGTACGAAAACGAACAACACAATGCGGACTGCGCCACGGGGACCTTCGGTGGAGTTCCCTATGGGGCCACGAAACGTGCGAGGGGGTGTGCCGACATGAATGGCGAGGGCGCATGCGGACTGTGCCATTGAGACCTTCGGCGGAGCCCCTATGGGGCCACGAAACGTGTGAGGGGTGTGCCGAAATGAGTGGCGGGGACGCATGCGAACCGTGCCACTGGGACCTTCGGCGGAGCTCCTACAGGGCCACGAAACGTGTGAGGGGTGAGCCGAAATGAGTGGCGGGGACGCATGCGAACCGTGCCACTGGGACCTTCGGCGGAGCTCCTGTGGGGCCACGAAACGTGTGAGGGGTGTGCCGAAATGAGTGGCGGGGACGCATGCGAACCGTGCCACCGGGACCTTCGGCGGAGCTCCTACAGGGCCACGAAACGTGTGAGGGGTGTGCCGACATGAGTGGCGGGGACGCGTCCGAACTGTGCCACTGCGACCTTCGGCGGGGCTCCTATTGGGGCCACGAAACGTGTGAGGGGGTGTGCCGACATGAGTGGCGGGGACGCATGCGAAGCGTGCCATTGGGACCTTCGGCGGAGATCGTATGGGGCCACGAAACGTGTGAGGGGTGTGCCGAAATGAATGGCGGGGACGCATGCGAAGCGTGCCACTGGGACCTTCGGCGGAGCTCCTACAGGGCCACGAAACGTGTGAGGGGTGTGCCGACATGAATGGCGGGGACGCATGCGAACTGTGCCACTGGGACCTTCGGCGGGGCTCTTATGGGGCCACGAAACGTGTGAGGGGGTGTGCCGACATGAATGGCGGGGACGCATGCGAAGCGTGCCACTGGGACCTTTGGCGGAGCTCATATGGGGCCACGAATGGTGTGAAGGGTGTGCCGAAATGAATGGCAAGGATGCGAACTGTGCCACTGGGACCCTCGGCGGAGCCCCTATGGGGCCACGAAACGTGTGAGTGGTGTGCCGAAATGACTGGCGGGGACGCATGCGAACCGTGCCACTGGGACCTTCGGCGGAGCTCCTGTGGGGCCACGAAACGTGTGAGGGGTGTGCCGAAATGAGTGGCGGGGACGCGTGCGAACTGTGCCACTGGGACCTTCGGCGGAGCTCCTATGGGGCCACGAAACTGCCGACATGAGTGGCGGGGACGCGTGCGAACGTGCCACTGGGACTTCGGCGGAGCTCCTATGGGGCCACGAAACGTGTGAGGGGTGTGCCGAAATGAGTGGCGGGGACGCGTGCGAACTGTGCCACTGGGACCTTCGGCGGAGCTCCTATGGGGCCACGAAACGCGTGACGACGATGATGACGACGATAACGATGATAACGATGATGATGATGATGATGATGATGATGATGATGATGATGATGATGATGATGATGATGATGTGATGATGATGATGATGATGATGATGATGATGATGATGATGATGATGATGATGATGATGATGATGATGATGATGATGATGATGATGATGAGAGGGGGGGAGGAGGGAGCAGGAAGGAGGTTGGAGGAATCGCGGGGACCGTCTCTTCAAAACGAGGACCCAACAACACAGGCTGGTTGGGAAAAAGACACAACTCCAACTGTTAAACCGTCGCAAGCGCTAAAGACGAAAGTGCGCGGAATTAAGGCCATAACTGAATATTGGAAATGGCAAAACTGTTCAGACACATGTGCGAGGCGCTAAAGCGAGAACCACATTTTGAAAACGAACCGGCACCCACCCTCGAAAATGCTACAAACATTTGAGATGGAGATCCGCGGCGCTACGGAGAAAACCATAGTTTGAAAACGACCCGACCCCCCCCCCATCAATCACTAGAGCTGCCGCAAATTGTTGAGACAAACGTGCGCGGCGCTGAAGCGAGAGCCGCATGTTGAAAACGACCGGTGCTCAATCCTTCAAACTGCCGTAAACGCGTGAGACACATGTGCGCAACCTTACGGCGGGAGCCGCGTATTGAAAACGGCCTGTGCGCAATCCTTGAAAATGAACATGGTCATAAACGATGAGGACGCCTCAGGCGAAACGCCAGGCAATCTCTACCACACGCGTGGGGGTGCGACAGGGAGGAGTATGCATAAGGGAAAAGGATGGAGGAGGAAGGGGGAGAAAGACGAGGAATAGGAGTGCCAGTTCTTTGCGTTCATGGACAGGCTAGAAGCTGTTGCATCGGCGAGCAGCTTCCAGCTTGCAAGCGATCGTGGAACCCGGCTCCGCCCTTGGAGATTCCAGAAAACAAGCTGACAGATAAGAAGAAGCGGAGGCAGGAGGGGAAAGGATGGCAAAGGCTTGAACCAAGCACAGCGTCGGCATGGATGGACATACCCTGCAGAAACACTCTGCACTGGCCGAAACGTCTTTTTTTTCATGGCTAAGCGAAAAATTGCACCGGTGAGCGGCTACCACCGTGGAGGCGATCGCGGAGCCCAGCTCCGCCCATGCCCATTCTGCGCCCTGGAGGGCCACGTGATCAACAATCAGCTAGCTTGCGAATTCGATCAGCCTGAATGCCCTCGACACTTTTGTGGGGCCACCTACTTGGCTGCGCCACTCGCTGGGATACGTCCCAGCGATGCGGCCCCACCGAACGCCGTTGGGGCCAGGGCCCTGCAAGGTGATGTGGGGTTGACCTGTCTGGCAACAGGACTCCGCGCGCGCTGCCGCAGCGCGCGCACAGGACACTCGGCGGGGGCACGCATTTCCGACAGCGGAGACGCGCGGGCTTCCTCAAGGCGGTTCCGAACGGGCACAGATCAAAGACAGCGCCACTGTATCTACAGTGCTGGGAGAGGCGCTGCGTGACTGGCTCCTGCCAGGCATAGCTACTTACTGGGTATCACAAATAAACGGCACGCCATGACGGATACAAACACCAATGATCATCTGAGTAACTGCGAGAGTTGCGCTACCTAAAATTATTGGTTCCAGCGCCTCACCCCCGAGATGCGGATGACCACGCATGCTACTCGGGCTTCGATAGAAGTCACGGGCCGCCTGGGTGGGGTCAAGTTGAGCAGGAAAAAGGATCAACAACAACAACAACAACAACAACAACAACAATCATTATACCCGAACGCTCAGTGTTCTCCCCAGTGCCAGGGTTTTCATGCGACGCCAGCCAATACCCCCACTTCGTGGGGGGGCAATGCAAGCTCTACCAAACATCCACACGACTCTCGGGAACCACCCACACCCAGCTTCCCGCCCTATGACGTCAGGACACTTCACTTCGTGGCGCGCGGACGATCGTGGATACTACACTGGCGTGGAGTACACACCCGCAGAGGTTGATCACTTGTTTGGGCCCCGCATGTGCCCCGCATCGTGCATTCGTTGCGCATGACATAGAGAGAGCAAGACAGAGAGAGAGAGAGCAAGACAGAGAGACAGAGAGAGAGAGAGAGAGAGAGCAAGACAGAGAGCCAGAGGAGAGAGAGATAGACAGAGATTCGTCACATGTGTGAGGCAACCCGAGAAGATGTGGTACACGGTACACGTGAGATGGTACGCACTGCCAAGATAGTTGGTCACATTTTTGGGGCAATTTCCTGGGAAGGCGATTACACAAGTAGATGTGTTACGTATGATAGAGATGAAGCAGAGAAAGAGCGAGAGACATAGAGAAGGAGAGAGAGGAGTCGGTCACATCTTTAGGGCAACTTCCTGAGGGATGTGGGAGGACACCAGAGAGAAGGTATCGTTGTCCCGATGGTTGTCTCGATGGTTGCCCCGATGGTTGTCCTGATGGTTATGGTTGTCCCGCTCGTTTTCCCGATGCTTGTCCAAATGGTTGTCCCGATGGTTGTCCCGATGGTTGTCCCGATGGCTGTCCGTCTGCGATGCAATGTTGTCTGTTTCTGCTGTTATACAGTCCCAAGGATGACACATGCATTGCTCATACTTTCTCCTGCTTTCGCAAACAGGTCCAGTCACACTATGAATATACACGAAGCATACTAAGGCGACTCGTCGTCTGCGACGTCGCGAATACGCTTGGGTACACGGCTGCCTGGCTGATGCAGGTGCGGGCCTGGCTGATACCCGTGCGCTCCCAAATGGCCAATGATATTGCCGATACGCCTGCTGGCGGGAGAGCCGGGGCTCGCATACGGCAGTGCTAACGCGAGCACGTTGTGGACCTGCGGCGGCAAAGCCGGGTAATCGAGCATGTTCGGATACTCGTCGCTCTGACCAAAAGACCGCCATACGGGCAACCACCACCACTGGTCTTGACGCGGATACTTCATCTCTGGGCCGACCTCAGGAGATACGTTCCAAATGGCCATTTTCTGCGGGTCCGTACCCATGAAGGCCGCGTGATACGCAATGAATACGTCCAAGGTGGCGAGGGCCCTGTAGGAGAGGCCGGATACGATCTCCGCATGAATGGGAATACCGAGCTGACCGAGCAAATACCGCATACTGCTATACACCCACTGGCCCGGGTGGACGAAAAGGTTGGCTTTCCAGGCGACGATACCTCGCCCGGTGCATAGCGTGTCGAATACGTGCAGAAGATAGCCAATGGGCTTCCCAAGCCTCTCATCCTGGAATACCGAGAAATTCCCGAATACCGCGTGCGCGTAGAAGAAGGCCTCGAAGTAAAGCCAATCCGGCTCGGGGATGCCCCCCATACTGTGCTGGTAGTCCGGGTCGTTGTTCGTCTTCGACTGCCTCGTGGACATGCCGCTCGATACGGCGAGGCATACGCCCTTGACACCCTCCCATAGAATAGGGAAGAAGATACCGCACGCGAACCACCTCTCCGAGCCACACTGCTTGAGCCAGCGCCGCGCATACGCCTCGTCGTTGGGTGGCGTGTGCCAGCGCTCCATACTGTAGCGCACTTCATCATCGCTTGGGTAATACTCGCCCGTCACGGGGTCGAGCCGACCGGCCATCTGGGAAGCCATACGGAAGGCCGGCAATATGAGGGTACGATCTCGCGATATACAGTAAGCGGCTTGAGCAGAAACCGCTACGTACAAACAGAAGCAAACCGCATACATGTGCCCAAATGCCAAAGTCCATACGACCGCACACGCAGAACACTCATGCGAGCGCCGTCGGCAAGACGAAATCCGCCGCCGCACATGCGACCAGAGCAGGCATACTCACTTCATCTTTTCATTTGAATCCACAGGCCTCATAGACTTCCCCTGGGAACCCCCCAGACGCCCTCATAAACTTCCCCTGGGAATCGGGTCACAGCCACTAAGACAATCGGACCCTGGGAACCCCCCAGATACCCAGAGAGGTCTGGCGGCTGGGGCCGAAGGCCTAAAGAGAATACATAACCACAGGGCCCTGGGAGGCCCTCCCAAGATCCCCAGATGGGTCTGGCGATTCCGTGGGAAAGCCCTCGGAGCACATATTACACGTGAGCCGTGTTGCACATGATACATATTGCACATGATACGTCTGCTAGCCATGGGACACATACACACCAGAGTTGGTCACATTTCTGGGGCACGTTTTGACACACATCCCCGTGTCATGTATGATACGTATAGCACATGAAACGTATGATAGACATGAGAGCAAAAGAGGCTCACGCAGGCTGAGGCCGAGGCTGAGGGTGAAGCTGAAGCTGGAGCAGGCTGAGGCTGGGACACGCTGAGCTGATGCAAGCTGAGGCTGAGACAGGCTGAGGCCGACGCTGAGGCAGGCTGGTGCTGAGGCTGAGGACGATACGTCACCGTCGCCGTCGCCGTCGCCGTCGCCGTCGCCGCCGTCACCCTCGCCGTCGCCGCCGCCGCCTCCGTCGCCGTTGCCATACCCATGATTCTCGATGCACGTGTATGTCATTACTGGTGGCTCTTCTTTCATACAGCTCTGCTTGACCCCAAAGTCTGCCACAATGCCCTATACAACTGAGCACCGCCCCTAGGGCTCAGCCACCAGCGCTTCCAACGTGGCTTTGGATACACGTCTGGTGATCCACCTTCCCTGCACTTTAATTCTTTGATACTCGCTGGCGCCGCGAGCGTGCGCTGCGGATACCAGCTCCTGGTACGTCCGTTTGCACGCACCGGTGCCTGAAGGCTGCAGCATACCTCGCTTCACGAGCAGAGCGAGCTTCTTCACCGTATGCGACTTCCCGTACTTGATACCCAGACCTTTGGCGGCCTTGACCAAGCCGCGGTACTGCTGCGAAGGCTGCCTCGCATACGTCTGCACCTTCTGTGTCAATACGCTGAGACAACTCGCAAGCACACGGAGCTCTGGAATACCGTCAGATTCTACCTTGGGACACAGACGGCGGCGACCGAGCTGATACGCCACCTCGCAAGGTCCGCCGTCTGATACGCCACCTCCCAAGGTCCGCAGCACAGCAAGCGATACTCCCACACAGCTGCGGATCGCCTCCAAAAGCTGAATTGTGTGACAACGCGTCGATACTAGCCCAGGCCGGACACGCGAAACGTTTGCCCGCACAGACTTGCTCTTGTCATACGCGTCAATGAGATACCAAACACCATGCAACGAATACCTGTTGATAGCCTGCCGCGTCTCGCAGAACAATACATACATGGTCGCGACGCTCACTTGAGACGTGCTGTTGAGAGCCTTCCTCATACGACCCAATGCTGTGGTCATTGTGTCGCAGGAAACCACGCCAAAATACGCGAGCTCCGCAGCAGCATGGCGTGCCCACTTCCGACACTGCCGCTTCAGAAACCACTGATGCAGCTCCTCGGTATACTCCGTAGGCGTGAAGCCCATGCAATACTCAACCATGTGCATAAAACACCTCATACAGTCCATGCTGTTATACTTACCGGCCATCTTCACCTTGTTCTTCTGCACGGCCACGGCCACGTAGTCCGGGATACTGTCCCCCATGGCCATGATGTCCGCGCTGGGGATACCGTCGCCACGGGGACGCTGAAGCCCCGATGCTAAGTGCGCCCACTTCTCCGCAAATGCGACAAGACGCCGTCGTATACGAACCCTGCGAAGTGTACGGATAAAGTGCAAGCCGGAATACTGAGTATGCAAGCCTTCTCGATGGGCTAAATAGGAGCACCCTTTTTCTTTGCATACTGCGTCGCAGTGACGGACGAGTCCTAAACAGAAAGCATCGAAGTCGTGCACGAATACGCTCCACTGATCCAAAATGTAATCGCATACGACAGGTACTCCTGCCTGCCCTCTGGTAAAACGCAGTAATACGAAAGACAGCAAGAAGAGATACCCCGCGGACTCCATGCCAAGGCTATACGTGGCCAAGAATACCCCCCTCTTGAGCCAAAGTGCCTATGAGGGAGGTGATGATGATGGTGGTGGTGA